CATCATCAGTGTAAACGTTCGACCTGCTCAATGCCATGGAGTTAACTAAAAATTATAGCTGGTTTCAGTTTGTGGACTTTTTCCCTAAAATAACATGTTATTTTCCTCAGGAGACATTTTAAGTGTATACAGAAGAATATTGTTTTCCTTTTGGCGGTTACGCAATATCTGCTAATATTTTTCGCTAAGTTTAGGAAAGTATGCCAGCTGGGCCAAGGTTGTACTTCTGTTGTCACGATGTGTATCTGAATTGTAGCTTTTTTGAGTTGGCACCAAATTATTGAATAATAATATAAATATTGGTAACAATAATAATGATGATAATAATTTTTTAATTTGATATCATGCATATGCTAGATGCCTTTATGTTTTAAAAACATAATAAATAAATAATACTACAATAAATTGTATAGATGTAATTATACATACTGTAATTAAAAGGTTGACTTCTAGTATAAATAGGGTAGATCCACTAAATGCAAAGAGTAACAATAATAAAGAAAATAATTATAGTTTCAATTTGATATTGTACATATGCTAGATGCCTTTGAGTTTTAAAAACATGTAATAAATAATAAATTCTATATAATATCTAATTATACATATTTTAATTAAAGGCTGTTATCTGGCATGAATATGGTAGGTAAGTCTGCTAAATACAAGGAGTAACAAATAACAACTGTAATGGTATCAATATAATTGTTCAATACTGAATTACATATTGACTTGCCGCAATAAATACAACACTTACAAACATGTCATCACCTAATGTGTCACCTAATCAAAAATTTAAAATTGTTCACAAATTAAATATATAATGAATATAAATCTGTATCAATTGTTTTAATATTTTTTTTATATAAATAATGATTATAGTCAAAGATAATAAATAAATTAAAAAAAAAAAAAACGATAATGATAATTACAAAATTATATATTAGATTAATTGATTAAAATTAAATTTGTATTTGCATATTAAAATATATTTAAATTAAACAGAAAACACACATTGTTAAATACAGTATTTTGGATAAATTGAAAAGCGTAAAATATCTATAAACATTTTAACTTTATTTTAACCTAATAAAAGTATAAAATCAATAAAAAAAAACTATAACTTGAAATAAATTTAACTTAAGATATATCAATAATTTATTATTAATATATATTTATCTAGTAATGGGCTTTGGAATAATAATAAAAATAATGATAATATTATTCAAAAATTATTAGACGCACTTAGGGTTTTCAGCAAAATGTTTTAAAATTAACTTTAAACAAACGTTAATCACTATGTATTGTGCAGCATTAGAGATAATATTAAGAATAACTTTAAAAAGATTACAGAACATAAATACTACATAATTTTATATATTGAAATGTAAAAATATTTCAAATATCAACCCTTTAGATACAATTTTTAATTACTTAATAAAAGTATAAAATCATTAAAAAACTATAACTTGAAATAAATTTAACTTAAGATATATAAATAATTTATTATTAATATATATTTATCTAGTAATGGGCTTTGGAATATAATAAAAATAATGATAATATTATTGAACAATTGTTTGGCGCACTTGGGGTTTTTAGGAAAATGTGTTAAAATTAAAATGTTAATCTCTATGTATTGTGTAGCTTTAGAGATAATATTGTTTAAACAGATTACAGAACATAAATACTACATAATTTTAGATAATGAAATGTAAAAATATTTCAAATATCAACACTTTAGATACAATAAATTTAATAGAATGTTGCTTTTAACATAATTACAAAATTATATTTTAAATTTATCAATTAAAAATAAATTTCTATTTGCTTAATAATAGTTTAATTCAGTATTTCTAATTGATTGAAAATTATAAAATTATTTTAAAATTATAACTTTGATTTAACATAACAATAATAATTAAACCAATCAATTTAGAATTAACTTCTATGTGCGCAAACCTTAAATGTGTCTGTAACTGTAAACAAATTAAAATAGAACACAAAGTAAATGTATAAAATAATTTAAAAATAGAATTTGAAATAAATTTAACTTTATATGTTAATTAATACAAATTATATCACAAAACAAACGCACACACAACTAAATTTAATATTTTAACAATAGCATTTTAAAAATAAAGTTAGGTTGTTACTCTTTAGATAGGGTGTATATTGGAAATAGTTTTAAACATAATCAAGGAGAAGTCTTTAATTATAATTAAAACAAAATAATAATAACCACATTTTCTGTTACATTAGTTATATATATTCAACATCACCCATCAATAATCGATATTATACAGTCTTTTGTGTTTGTGTAGTGTGCTCTACCAAAGCAGATCATTAAAAGTAAATTAAATTCACAAATTATAGTAAATTGATAATACTTATTAACACTTATGTCTAATACATATTCCGACTATTGAATAAAATAATTTGAAAGATACTGAAATACACATATTCCTTTTAAGAGTTAATAATTATAGTACATATGACATTGCTTATAATGCAATTGAAATAGACATAAATAGAAAACAAAAAAGTTTTTTGTAATCCATACAAGGGCATGATGATGACAAAGCAAAAGTTCTAAACAATTATAATAAATTGATAATTAAATTGATAAATTAACTAACAGCATACCATATAATAAATTGATAATACTTATTAACACTTATGTCTAATACATATTCCAACTATTGAATAAAATAATTTGAAAGATACTGAAATAGACAAATTTCTTTTAAGAATTAATATTTAAAAGTATGGGCACAATTGAATATAATATTAACTACATTAGAAAAAATAACTAAATGCTGAAATAAATCAATTTAATTTAATTTCATTTAGCATAATAATTGTAATTGCTTTATAGTGCATATGACAATTGCTTATAATGCCCTTGGAATACAGATAAATAGAAATCCAAACCAGTTTTATGTAATTTACCCCATGTAATATAAACAATGTGTAAATTTCTTCAATTAAACAGATTTTAAAATATTAATCATAATATTCAAAATATGAATATGAATCGTAAACATAACTATAATAATAGTATTGTATACTATTAACATGTACACTTTAAAGTAAAACACTTTAAAGTAAAACATAATGGAAAAATTTAATATATAATACTTTCGTAAAAAATTTTAAATCATACAATATTTATTTTAATAAACGCCTCTTAATTTCCCCGTAAATACAGTCAAAACGTGTTGTTGCGTGATCTCAAAGACTTATCAATCCCAACTAGGTTAGAATAATTTGAGGGAGGTGCTTATAATTCCAAATGAGGCTAGGTGGGTGGGGGTGCGTTTATTCAAATAAATACGGTAATTAAAAATTTAAATATTGAGATCCTTTCAAAAGTTCTGCTTTGGTAAAGTACATCATATATGCACAGCATTTAATCAATATAAATATAGACCTTAATAAAGGTTTGTCTTACGATTTGAAGATAAAATCTTGATAAATACAAACATTAAGGAAAAGCAATTAATGATTTTTTAAATTTTTAGATTTTAAACATTATAATTTTAAAATAGGGTGATCTTATATATAATTATACTTAAAGCTAATTTTAGTAAATGATTAAAAATAAATATGACTTCTTCTATAATTAGCAATATTTGGTGCCAACAGTGATATAAAGAGTGATCGATTCAGGCAGGGTATGGCTGAAGAGCTGCTGTTCAGAACACGATGCTTAGGTTTAGTATTACCAGAAGTGCCAACCATATCAAATTCTTTGCAACCAAATTTAGTTCTGTACTGCACAGTTAATGTTGTTTCCTGAGTGTAATCTAGGCAACCAAAAGCACTTGTAAATTTATATCCTGACGCCAGTTTTAAGTCCCATACTTTCTGATACGCAATTTGAACATAAATATAATCTAAATTTGTTTCTAAATTATTTATGCAAAACCAATTTTTCCTAGTTATTTAAAGCTAATCCATTAAAGTAATTCTAATAAATAATTCATGTTTAATTTAATTTAATTTCAAAATTATTCGTATTTGAAAATTCTTTAATACCATTAATTATTATTTAATACTGTTTATGCAAAACCAATTTTTCCTAGTTATTTAAAGCTAATCCATTAAAGTAATTCTAATAAATAATTCATGTTTAATTTAATTTCAAAATTATTCGTATTTGAAAATTCTTTAATACCATTAATTATAATTCCTATCCTTGGCAAAGATTGGGAAGAGGGTTGGCGATCTTGCGTGGGTTGTCGTCCATCTTGGGTATTGGGTTCTCACGGGTATTTTACTCATCTTGTAATTTACATTGGACTTGTAGCTTGTATTGAGAACTTTGCAGGTTTCTTCTGGCACTCTTGCTGCTTGGTAGTGGTGGTGGGTACGACTTGAGGCAGTACTTGCTGTGCAGTCAAGTTGAGTCAACCCGTCGGTGTGAAGGGTGGGGGGAGGGCAGCAGAGAAGTGCAGGTTTCAGAGCAGTGCATTTTTTCATGAAACTGAGGTTGTACACATTGAGTCAAATAAATACGAAACAAAATTGATTAAAATTCTTGTCTTTATTTGTTCCTTGCATCATTGTTTTCATCACCAACCCGAATACTAGGTTGCATTAAATAGCGCCCTCACTTCATTTAGAGGCGAGACTGCCCCCTAGTTAAAATGAGGCCCTCATTTTCCATAGAGGGCAGTATCTCATGCATTAAATAGCACCCTCATTTTATTTAGGGGTGCTATTTAATGCAATAAATACTGTCCCCTAGTTAAAATGAGGGCCCTTCATCTTAACTAGAGGGCAGTATCTCATGCATTAAATAGCGCCCTCATTTTATTTAGGGGTGCTATTTAATGCTACGACTTGAGGCAGTACTTGCTGTGCAGTCAAGTTGAGTCAACCCGTCGGTGTGAAGGGTGGGGGGAGGGCAGCAGAGAAGTGCAGGTTTCAGAGCAGTGCATTTTTTCATGAAACTGAGGTTGTACACATTGAGTCAAATAAATACGAAACAAAATTGATTGAAATTCTTGTCTTTATTTGTTCCTTGCATCATTGTTTTCATCACCAACCCGAATACCACCTCTAAACAAAACTAGGTTGCATTAAATAGCGCCCTCACTTTATTTAGAGGCGCTACTTAATGCGATACTGCCCCCTAGTTAAAATGAGGGCGCCCTCATTTTCCATAGAGGGCAGTATCTCATGCATTAAATAGCACCCTCATTTTATTTAGGGGTGCTATTTAATGCAATAAATACTGCCCTCTAGTTAAAATGAGGGCCCTTCACCTTAACTAGAGGGCAGTATCTCATGCATTAAATAGCGCCCTCATTTTATTTAGGGGTGCTATTTAATACAATAGATACTGCCCTCTAGTTAAAATGAAGGGCCTCACCTTAACTAGAGGGCAGCATCTCTTGCATTAAATAGCGCCCCCATTTTATTTAGAAGCACTATTTAATGTAATAGATACCGCCCTCTAGTTAAGATGAAGGCACCCTCATCTTACTTGGAGGATCAAAGATCTTATAACAAACTCGCAGGTCACTTTAATTAGGTTTTAGTTGTTACGAGCGTGTAGTCACATGGAGTTTTCAAATTCATTATGCGTACAAATAGTCAAAAACCTATTGAGCTTTACATATTGTGCAGTCCCATGAAAGTCTAATACATTACGCTTACAAACGGCAAGTGCGCTGTCTTGTTATAAGATCTTTGAGTAAATAACCAACCCACTTACCTCCAGTCTTCTTGCCTCTGTACCCTTCTTTGTTTGCCGGCATACAGCATAAATTTATTAATACATATACCATAGGCCTATCTAATTTATCAATACAATACAATACCATAGGCCTATCTAATTTATCATATACAGCACTAATTTATCAATACAATACAATACCATAGGCCTATCTAAATTATCAATCAGTTATGTATTTGAATTATTAAAGATATTGTCTTCACTTAAAATAAATCAGAAAAAGCATCTCGGCTTCTTGCAGATTGGTTCACAGTTCTCGCTAGGTGGAGTTAACAGAGCGATGACTTCATTTTTAATCATAAAATACAAAATATATTTTTCTTTGTGGTTGAATTTTGTTTAAGACATTAGTTTCTTGTATCTCTTAGTCAACTCTTCTCTTCATATCTGTAAAAGATTTTAAAAAATGTTAAAAATTAACCAAAATAATTGTTGAAATAAATGCTATTATACAGCGTTTTATATATATATTACAGACTAGTATATAAAAAGTTTGAATCACATCATTATTAAATGAGAGTAACTACTGCTAAACACTAAATGTATACTGCATATAGCTAAGGAGTATTAAAAGGATAAGGTGATGCAGTTTGCAATGGGAGAACAGAATGAAGACGGAATGTTAAGGTTAAATGTTCCACTTGCTCCCAACTAATGTAGAGGGCCTCCATGATCTTAGGCTGATAATTACTAATAATAGTTTATATTAATATAGAGAAATAAATTGTGTTACTGTACCGCAATCATTATCATGAATCTTAAATCATCTTGAAGCCACATCTAGCAATGAAATCATACCTGTAAAATATATGAGATATATGCAATATAGAGTTCTATTATGATTTATTTATAAAAAGAATCTCTTCAAAAATCTTGTCGTGGCATCAAATGCTTATAAGAGGGTGTATTGATATTAATCTCTGTTATTTGCCATGCATTAAGAACTTATGCTGTTCAACATGCCCAGGAGTGTGGAAGCCTCAATGACCAGTTAATACGTCTGCATAAACACAGAAGATCCCGGGTTCGATTATAACAATTTATTTTATTCAGGTATAAAAATAATACAAAAAGTAGCCAAAGGTTAAAATTATTGCATTTACAAATTAAGAACGAATATTTACAAAATACATAAAATATTACATTAAATATATAAAAATATAAATTCTAATTCTGAAAAGCCGGTGTGGCATTGGTCCCAAGATCAAGACAGACCAGGACTGGAGAGGATCAGGAACTGAGCAGCCAGGTAATATATGGAATTGGTGAATTCTGGTACCTTTTGGTACGGCAACGTTGCGATAAGTTAATTATGTCGGAAGTTTTTGTTATTGGGATTTGATGGAGGAAGCATATGACGATGTCAATTTGATTGAAGCAATGATTTACCAAAATTATATACTAGGATTTCCCATCTAAATTTGAGTGTCCTGACGATGTTGATTTTCAGAGCTTCACTGTTGATTTGAGATTTGAGTTTTACCTAGAATAATCCCGACTGCTCTTTTCTGGACCCTCTCCAATCCATCAGACTGCAGAACTGTCAGATTTTATAATTTATGAACATGCTGTTACTATCCCATTTACCAGCAAACCCTTTAAAAGGGCATTCAGGCGGGTTGGTGAACCAGGTTTTGCCAGAATCTTATCTCAATAATCCAATTAAACATCAAAGAAGGATACCTCTACTTAAGAATCATTATCACAGCAGGCATTGCTGTTTCTCAATAAATTACCAGTATAGTATTTAAAAACCAGGCTGGAAAATTTTAAAAACCTGTTGTTCAAAATATTAATTAATTTATTAATTTTAAAAATCAATGACTTATGTTGGGAGTTACAACATGGTTTTTGATTTAATTGTGCTAGTCTTCTTATGAACTATTCACAACTAATGAGCTTCACTGTTAATCTTGTTACAAAATTGCCTGGAGAAGTAATTAATAGAGATAAGAAGAGATCGGCAAAACCTGGTTCAAAATTGTAAAATTTGGTAAATGGTGAAGTTTCCTCATGAGTGGTGACAATCTGTAAGTGACAACAGTGCTCAAATAGCAACATGATGTTATAAGTATATCAAGCGAAGCCGTTCAGTTGCATGAAAAATGTGTGGTGGGATTCCTCTCATACAGCTGACTGAAACGCTCACAACCTGTCACAGTGGGGCTAACAATAATTTACAAAAGGTTATAGGTCACAACTTGGAAATCCTGGTAAATAATTTCAAATTTTCTGTTGAGCACTGTAAACACTATACATAAATAAATAGATAAATAAAAATATCAATGCACGAAAGGAACATGATGTTATGTTATCAGACATCATATTTACTTTAATACAATTTAATTAGTTTTATATATACAGTCAAATCCGCCTATGTCGAATCTAATGGGACTGGCATAAAAAGTTTGAGTTATACATAGAACAATACTATTTTAAGTCCGAAAATCATTCCTATTCCGAATCTCGGACGATTTGTGCAATTCAGGACGGTAATAGTTAAATAGACCTCGTTTAACAACAAGCATACCAGACGCTGTGAAAACGAGACGCTTAGTACTCGCATTACCATGGAGATTATCTGTTGATTAACATGACACGCCAGTAGACGTTGGTTAATTATGAAGTGAAATTTAGGTATGCATTCCAATGTTTTAATAAGTGTATATTCTTGCTTTTAATCCTTAAAAACCATTTGGAATCAACCTGCAATAAAGACGGAACTCAACAAAGCAAGTTCCTACTGGTTACTCTTTTCAATAGACGTCTAATTCATATTTGTTAGATTCGTCAGTGTAAATTGCAAATGCACCTCATTCATTCTTTAAACTCAAGACGCTTTTCAAAACGTGTTGCTAATTTAATAATGTGTGCTTGGAAAAACATAATAGACCTAAAGAAATGCACGCAGAAACATAATTAGAGCCAGTCCAGAGGGGTTTCTGTATTGTGAGAGTAGACTGCAACTTACGACATACAATCGTGTGAGCCAAGTTCCACAGCGCGCTGTCTGAGATGTTAGTTTTGACATGGACTTGTTGCCGTACAACAAGAATTAAACTTCGTATTTTCCCACGGCTGTGTATTTTTCCCAAATAAATTTGGAACTTCGACTTGTGTGGTTGAAATTACTTTCACCAAATCGGGCCTATCCGGACCACAAAATTCTGTCGATATAGCTGAAATTAGACTTATAAAAATTTGAATGATGCGAATTTTCGACTTAAACGGAGTCAACTTCGGCGGACTCGACTGTATTTTTTATTTGAATATATCTATTTCAGTTATCATGATTATAATACATTTTTAGTGCTATCAAGATAAATTTGATAACTTGGAGTGAGAAAACTTGTTTAAGTTTACGTGAGGGTCATTAACTCTATTCTTGAGTATGTTGCATATTCAACGGAGGAGCGATGCACCCAATTATGTTGAGAGTATTTCAAATAATTTCAGGAAAATCAACCATCTTCCACTTCCAAAAGTCTATCAGAAGCAAGAACTTCATCCCTAGGCCTATTCATAGTATTTTTTGGTCCACACTTTTTCCTATTTTTTAAATTTTTTATTTAATGCATAATTACAAAAAGAAAAAAGGATGCAAGCAAAACGATCTGTAGCATTTAAAATTATTTAATAAAAATTTATATTTTTGAAATAAATTTAGGGCAGTAATTTATCAAAAAGGTCAAGGAGCAATGCCCATCACTTTTTTTTATTATTAATACATTACCATTACTGTACTTACATTTTACTTCAGGACAAGAACGGTAGGGGCGCTTATGAACATGTCCACACAGCCAGTATGGTGCAGGATGTATTACGTAACCACTATCCTCGGTTTTCGTTTTTTGTCCACTATCCTAAAATATAAAAAAACCCCATAAAATCAAAGTCTACCAGCTTTTTGCATTATTTGTACCAGTAAGCGCAATATATGACATAACATTATTACATATAGTTATATAAACTATTATTTATCTTATAAAACATCTAGTGTTATATATTAGATGTAGGCTTAATGTAACATACAAGATTCTAATAAAACAGCCAAATTTATCGTAAATTAGCAAAAGAACACTTCTAGTGACACTAAACTAAGACAAAGGTTTGAATCCAAGAAATAATGTGCAAATTATACATTATAGTCCTGCACGTGCATTACATGTTCACTAAACCATCGCATATCCATAATTGCAGTTACGCCAATGTGTCCGAATCTGAGAAAATTAAAACTTTTAAATGCTAGGAAAATTATATTGTACAAGGTTAAATCAAACACAATTGGAATTTTTATGATCATTAGGTACCATAAAGTAAGAACCAGCAGAAAAACTACTAGGTGACAAATTTTTCAGCACCATAATTTACGGTTGTTTTGTGTTCTATTGGGACCTACGAATCACAAACAATTTTAATAGTAAGAACTTTAGCAAAACACGAGAATATGATGCTTAAACTTACAAGAAAAAAAAAGTTCTTTACGTAGGCCAGCGAGCAAGGAGTGAAAGTTTTACATACGTCACTGTTAGTTTATTATTTATTAAGTGAGTATTACTGCTTTAAAAACAAACTTGAAAATTATAATTAAATGTAATTTGTATTTCAATAACAGAAAAATAATTATACACCTACTTTTAAATTAGTTTTGTTACTGGTTTCACCGGTTCTTATTCTATTCGTCCGAACGGAATTAGCCCCAAGGCTATTATTAGATTACACATGTATTTGAGTTTACGTCTGAACATGGACGTAAACTCAAATCAATCTGAGTTTTATTGCGCTAAACTCTGTATATTTTTTTCATTATTATTATTATTATTATACTTATTATTACTATTATTACTATATGTAATTGAAGTGTAATTTTTTTGTTTTTTTGTTGTCCAATTTTATTTGGGGTCACTATTAGACAAGTAATGGTCTTGTTATTTATATCAAACCTAACAAAAGTTTATTATGTATTTTATTGTATTTATTATTGTAACTTTCTTTGACCATTATGCAATAAATGTTAATGAATCGATCTTGAAATAATGAGGTACGATCTAAATTCTGTAGTGTCCTTAGCGACATTCGTTGGTAGCACTATTTGTTTTAATTTTGTCTCCGTAATGACATGGAGTGGTATGACATATCGTATGGATTAAACACAGTGATTTGAATGTGTGGTTTAATACACATTAAAGCAACTTGTGATTAGTTTGAATTCATGAAAGATAGCTTACATTTTCTGTAATATCTGATGCACTACACACCAGTCTCTGGGTCCGGGGGAGTACAATTGACAAGTGCATAAACAGAGGCCTAGACTACCCAGCCTTGCAAGCGCCCCACAAAACGGCAGTACATATCATATGATACAAAAACATACAATTTCACAGATTTCCCGACAATGTTTTTGCAAAAACTCTTCATACTTTAAATTTCCCAAGCCTTCACAAATAAAGGCCCTGATAGAAAAAGAAATGACTTCAAAATTCTCTCAAAATCATAGTAGTATAAGCCCTCTTCCTCAGAGAGTGGGCTAAAAACTGTAAAATCGAAAAGGTAAGAACCTTGTATGTATTAGAAAATATGGACATTAATACTAGCCTGTGTGCAAATTTTATTGTGCATTCATAAAATGGATGGTTACGATTAGATGGATTTTTTGTGAAGTAAGAAGTGTTGGTCGGATTCTGGACTTACTTTAAAATGTTCATTCGATTCTGGACCTTGTCAGTCTAAAGAGGCAGTAGTTGGTTACCATGTACTACAGTCGCTGCTGTGCGGCCTGCCACACATAGCCTCACTGAAAATGAGTCAACTAGCAAACAGCCTGTAATAGAAAATGATTTCAGATTTAACTAACAAATATTAAGACTTACATGGATAATAAAAATGGTTTAAAAGTAAATGCGTAATATTAGTTACACATTGCTGATGTAAGAAGTGTTTGCCTGATTCTGCACCTACCCCTAGTGAGTAGTGGTGGGTTACCATGTGCTAAAGATGCTGCTGTGCGGCCTGCCACACATAGCCTGAGTGAAAGATATATATGCTATCTAGAAGTTGCATTGCTATGGTGTCACTTCAGCAGTTTCATGATTTTTGTAGTGTCTGACAATGAATATTCATTATCATTACATCATTGTGATGAGACCACGGTCTGGTGAATTATGCAAATGAGTCAACTAGCAAATAGCATGTAATAGAAAATGAATTTAGATTAAATTAATAAATATTAAGACTTACATTAATAATAAAAATGGTCCTGATTTTCGTAGTGTCTGACAATGAATATTCATTATCATTACATCATTGTGATGAGACCATGGTCTGGTGAATTGTGCAAATGAGTCAACTAGCAAAAGCCTGTAATAGAAAAATGATTTTAGATTTAACTAACAAATATTAAGACTTGCATGAATAATAAATATGGTTTAAAAGTAAATGTGTAATATTAGTTACACATTGCTGATGTAAGAAGTGTTCGCCTGATTCTGGACCTACCCCTAGTGAGTAGTAGTGG